GCGACAGGGACAATCTGGGGCTGCCCTGTCCTTGCAGGAGTACGGGGTGCCTTTCATGGAGACGAGCGCCAAGACAGGCATGAACGTGGAGCTGGCATTTCTGGCCATTGCTAAGTGAGTACCTGGGGGATCTGGGCAAGTGAGGTGTGTCCCTGGCCCCACCACCTCCTGCACTGGCACTGAAGCATGCCAGTGGGAGTAACGCGGCCCCACCACCCCAGGGAGCTGAAGCAGCGCGCAGTGCAGCAGCCGGATGAGCCCCGCTTCCACATCCATGACTACATCGAGTCACAGAAGAAGAAAAATCCAGCTGCTGTGCCTTCGTCTGAGGGCGGCCGGGAGGAGCCAGCAGCCCGGGGGATGCAGACCAGGGGCCCAATCCTGCCCTCAAGCACCCGAGGCTCTGATGAGCCAAGCATGGACAAGACAATATGACGGAGCGGAGCGTGCATGAGGAAAGCCAGCGCCCCAGCACCAGGACCCAAGGGCTGGATCCTGCTGCCCTGCAGGGCGATGCCCGGAGCTCACTGCGTGCCCTTGCGAGAATCACCGCGGTGTAATGACTACCAGCCTGGCCAGCGAGCCACAGCGATGCCTCTGCCACTGAGCTGAGAGTCCCTTGGAGCAGCTGGAAGGGTCCTGTGTGTGCCATGGCTGAGGCCCTGTGCAGACCCCAACCCTCTCCTCCCCTGCAGCCATCCCTGCTCTCGGAGCTGCTCTCGTCTGGCTGGAAGGGCCTGATCCAGCCCCTGTGTACCCAGTGCTGCCGGGTGCTGGCTTCCCTCCAGGCTGCCCCACGACCGGGTGCACTTGGTGCCCTCCCTCAGCCATGGCTCATCGCTGCTGCGGTTGCTGCTGTTGGCTTTTATCCTCCTACCACTACCCAGGCAGTGATGTCCCCATTGTGTCCCGGTTCTGCCGGAGGGAAGGGCTGCGCTGGGGACATGTCCAGCCAAGCCCGCTCCTTCCCCACACAGTGAGCGTGAGAAATAAAACTCCCCTGGGAGCACCTGAGCGATGGGGGCACTTCTAGTACACACAGCAATTTGGAAAAACCTTCCTTTCCCACATCTTGTAGCCACAGGAATTAGAGACTTTTTTCTTTGTTTTAACGAGAAAAGCCTTTTTCTTTTCAATCCCTCCAAACAAAGGAAGCTTTGGCCTCACAAAATTTGGAGCTGGTGGAGTGGAGGTGCCCGCAGTGGCCTGGGGGCTGCTGTGCTTGCCAGGGTGGGCTGGTTTTCTTTCCCATTGCTGCGCATGTAACACAACTGTGTCTTCCTGCCACTGGCAAAGAGCAGCTGAAACCCACTCTCTGGAAAGCAGATGCCTGAGTTGCTTCAGCCGGCAAACGCTGCTACATTACGCACCGGCAGGGTGCAGGGTGCAAGGCTCAGGCCACATGTTGCTGCATATCCCCAGTGCTCAACCTCGCCCTGCTGACCCTTCCAGCTCTGCTGGCTCCCAAGCCATGTGTAGGGCGGTGATATGGTGAGTATTTGGTTGGGTAACTGATGACCTGGTGTGAAGGGCATCTGCGGAGGGCACGGCAGTACCGCATGGAGGAGTCAGGGACTGTCCGACTGTCCCCAACAGCGTCTTCCCCAGCCCCGCACCTGAGCTGCTCATCTCTCACCGGCCCCAGTGCCTCCTTCGCCTCCGCTCTGCTCGTGGGTCTCACTTTGCAAGTTTACAGATTAAAACCAGGTATTTTCAAGGCTTTGCATCTGCCTGGTTTTTTTATTGCGTGAGAAATCCCTGCCCTGGGTCTGCGACGTGGGAGGCTGCTCCACCCAGGCGCTGCAGAGATGCGGGGCCGGGGGGCCCCTCGGAGCAGCCATGGTGGGGGAGAAGCACCCGCAGCCCCTTCCTCCCCGCCAAGGCTTTTCTTGCATATTTCAGACAGTCCAAAGGTGAGAGGGGAAGAGTAAACATGGCCTGTTAAATTAAAACCAACCTCCTCCCCTGCTGTTCTCATGGTGCGGAGTCCAGCATTCCCCAAATAACTCTGTCTTCCCACCAATGGCATTGCTGCTGCTGCTTGGCTGATGTCTGCAAAAAATGCTGGATGGCTTCAACACAAACAGACGTTGGCTCTTTTCTGCTTTCCCCCCTCCAGCCTGAGCTCCCTTAATGTCACACCGAGCCGCAAAGGGCCCCGGAAGGAGGTTGCGATGGGGCTGCCATTCTGTGGGTGCTTCTGGGGTCTGCCAGACCCCAAACCAGCTCCGACTGTTTCCTTTGTTGTTGCCTTTCTTCCTTATCGCGGTTCCATGCTTAAAGCAGCCCTCTCGGAGCTGGGTTTTGTTTCCTGACTTAGGACAGTGTTCCCAAAATGTGTCCCTCTCCTGTTTCCACCCCCACTGGCCATGTCGGCTGTGCCACTCACAAGCTCCTTGCCATGGGGAGCGCTGTGCCGTGTTCATGCCATGGGCGATGGAATCCCGCTCCTCATCCTGGGGCTGCACAACGACACGCTTGCCCTGGTTTTCCTCTCCGCAGGCATCTGCTGCCGGCTGCCGTGGGATTCCTCTCCGCCGTCTTTCTCAGGGATGAGCGGCCGCAGGCGAATGCTCAGCCGAGTGGAGGAAACAAATGAGCCCACCCTCTGCTCCCAGCTC